TGTTTAGGAGATCAAATCTTTTTAGCTGGTGAACAGTAAATAGTTCAGAATATTTTCGGTATGCGGCGCTAGTGTGCATGTAAAATATTTGTAAATGCTATAGCTTAAGGTCAGAAAGTAACTGTCATCGTCAAAGTTGTACATGCGGCAAATTTCTTCCGGATGGTGAACAGGCACATGTGTTTTGTTCAAAGCTCTATCATTCTATCAAGCAAACGATTAACGTACCCCATACTAGTCGAAACTCTAGTACTACACAATGTTTGTTTTGATTCGCTATGAAAGTTTGACAGATAAAACGAGGGGTTAGTGGATTTTCCTATGTTTCGAGGGGTGAATCGATTAGCTTGGGACCGAAGAGAGTACCAGAGCTGAGCCAAAAAGTTGAGCACGTTTCTTCGGGACCTTCTAGTCTTAGAGTTACCTCTATGGTTCTACTATTAGTTTTAGTTTCAATTTTTTTTCCATGTCAATTGTTGGAGAATTTCTAGAATATAATTTAGAAAATTAGAATGCGAATAATAGAGAGGGTACTAACATAGAGGTAACTCTAAGACTAGAAGGTCCCGAAGAAACGTGCTCAATTTTTTGTCTCAGCTCTGGTATTCTTTTCGGTCCCAAGCTAATCGATGCACCGATGCATCCACGAATCCCTCATTTTATCTGACAAACTTTCATAGCGAATTAAAACGAACATAGTGTAGTACTAGAATTTCAAGTAGAATGGGGTACGTGATTTACTTGGTCAAGTAAAGAGCCAATTTATAATCGTTAATTTCCACCGGTTGGTACTAAGATTTGATTGCGTTATTATGAACCATGAAATATACGTCAGGGTGGTTTTCAAGTAGCTCCCAGGTCCCAGGTCAAGTTTACACGACTACCGGAAAAGGAAAGATTCAAGATAAGATGTCAAAGTTCGCGAAAAAGTACTTGGTTTGGCAGGCAATTTGCACCTGTGTGTGCTGAAAAGCGAAATTTTCGTGACAACTGGCATTGTCAACCAACCTCGTTTCCTGTCGCTACGGGAAAATTGCTCAGGAACAACGTGCAATTCGTACCCAAGAACAAAAACCCTCCGAACTCGCCAGAGCTGCACCCAATTGTAAAAAATTCGACCAATCGATATGCGGAACCTCAAGAAAACTCAGAAAACAGTTGGAAATGAGAAACAGTTCAAAGCAAATTGACGTTCAGCATCAAATAAGGTTGATACAATAGCGGTACAAAATCTGATGGAAGGTGTGAAACGTAAAGCCCGACAGTTCGCATTTGGAAAATCGGAAGCCTAATCAAATAATTTTCCTGTATTTTGCAGTCATTGAAATTCAAAAATAAATAAAGTTTGATCATTTATACAATTACATAATACACTTAATCATGACTGACCAATTTTTGACCGTTCTACCCTTTATGTTCAATGGCATTCAAATAGTTGAGCACCACCTGGTCGGCTCATCGATATCGGCTTGCAAAGCTCAACAGCCGCGTCCTGAGGAAATTGTCGTGTACATTTTGCTCAAGTTTTAGACGTGCGATGAGGTCATTTATAAACAAAAGTAATATGACAGGGCCAAGTATACTGCCCTGCAATGCTCCTGAGAAGATGCTGTATAGACGAGAACGGGCACTTCCGTTGTTAACAAATGCTTTCCGGTCAGCTAGATAAGATCTTAGCCACTCTGTTATCCACTCTGGTACTCCAAAGTGACTCAGCTACCTAATGGCACGATCATAAGGAACCGTCTGGAAAGCTTTTATAAAGTCGAAATAGATAGAATCGACCTGGTTGTACATTTCCTCCATCAGAGCTGTCGTATAACACATCAGGTGTAAGAAAATTCATCTTTTCTTCACAAATCCACACTAAGCTTCATATATTTCGCGGTGCAGCATAAGATCGAAATTCCACGTTAGTTTTCGATGATTACCAACATCAGAGCAATTCCGAAAAAAAAATTGAAATAAGACTACGTCTGTGATTTCTATATGAGGCTACACTGAAAACCGAAAATAGAGCATGTAACAAAATTATGAAAGATTTTGAAAGTTAATAACTCAGCTGCCCCTGGACCAATTTCAATAATTTTATCACCAATCGATCAGAAATATGTCTACGCATTTTAGCGCAAAAAGTGGCAAATCATAGTCATACTAAAGAGTATAAACAGAGAGAACTCCGCTCAAATTCCCAAGCGTACACAAAACACAAGCTCCTGCTGCAGTTAACAAATAACATTTATTATATAAGATCACGTAGTCCTACGTCACCATTGCGTACAACCCCATAGGGCTGTCCCTTGTAGTTTTGTGTTACTAAATTTGCCTTCGTCACCCCATCTCTGGTTACGACTATGGCTGACTATTGAATACAAATGTACTGTACCCAAATTTAAAAAATCAGACATATTATCAGGGGGTGCAAAACCAGCTGTAAGGGGTGCATAGCACCACCTACACCCTTGCTTCCTACGTAAATAATCTTGGGTCAGCCGAGAGGATACAACCAACTTGACTAGCCTATTGGTCCCAAGTACATCTATAAGCGTACCACATTCTAGTCAAAATTCTAGTACTACACTATGTTTGTTTTGATTCACTATGAAAGTTTGACTGATAAAATGAGGGTTTCATGGATTTTCCTATGTTTCGATTAGCTTGGGACCGTAGATAGTACCAGAGCTTAGCCAAAGAGTATAGCACGTTTCTTCGGGACCTTCTGGTCGTAGAGTTACCTCTTTGATACAACCTCCTTCAACTAACATTAGCATTAAGAAACATTGTAAAATACATAATGAGCTACGGCTCCGCAAAGTATCCGTAATTGAGCCTTGATAAATAAATTCAACTTCACTTATTGCAACTTTTAACATAATCTGTTAAAATTTCTAACGAAAACGGTCAAAAGTTTTTACAAAGAAAATGGACACTTATTTAATCAAAATTTTGTTTCGTTGAAATTCCTCGGAAGCGAATGAGGCAAGACACAATGTTCAACATTTGTACTGGTATTTGTCGCAACTTATACTTATAACGTAGTCGGTAACAACTTTCAAAACAATAAAACACAGTTTCCAACGGACCAGATAAGTAAATGAAAATGGTTATCTTTTAAAAGAAATTGTTGTGATTTCAAGAGAAAATCATAACTTCTCATGTAATTTATTGCAGCATTGCATTTATTTTGCATTTATTGTAATTTATATAATTAGTATTATTATTATTATTATTATTTTTATTTTTATTATTATCATTATTTATATAATTAATTTATATATTGCAATTTCTTGCGTTTATTAATTTCAACGAAAAGGACCCACCGGTTAAAGTTTCCAAATTAATTGATCAGGTTTTTTTTTTATCAAAATCACTCATAGATTCTAACAAAATTGGTGACAACTGCAAAATAAATTGACCAAAACTTTAGCAGAAGTTTCTACTTAAAAAGGGCTTCAAATTGATCTGCAACATTTTGCCATTCGTTGAAAATTTCTGGAGTTCAAAAAATTTCCATTGATTTTAAATCACTTTGAAATGTCCTACTACTACATATTTATTAATTAGCAATTTATTATCTCTATAAACAACAATACACAACAACTTTAACACAGTAACCCAGGATGGAAATTTGGCAAGTTAAAAGTGCTAGTCCTTTTGTCGTAAGTGTCATCAGTGAACTGTTTCGCTTAAAAAAGCTCCTTCTCTTGGCCGTTTTTTTTTTTTTTTGTTTTAGTTATGGTGGATTTTAAATGATTGATTTTGAAAAACTAACAATATTTTTCCGTTGATTTGTTTTCCATCGATCTTGTTTCCAATGCTACCAACACCAGGGAGGCAGCTCCCACAACTGGACCTTACCTATCGACCTATCAACTCATGAACCGGGGACCAACGGCTTTACTTCCGGCGTGATCAGAGATTTTATGCCTCAGAAAATACCGGCGGCGCCGACTAACTAACTAACTTTCTTGTTTTTAAAAATAAAGACACATGTTCTTGGGAAAGATGGAGCCGAAACGATTTCAAGCACCAAACGTCTAAAACTTAAGACAAAAGCAGTAGGACTTTTAACTTGCTAAATGCCCATCCTGGACCACTGTGATACTGGTGTATTTAATATATTGAGGCAATATGTGTTTACTGCCGTGGAATTCTCCATTCCCCTTAAAAACTTCATAAGCTTCAATAAGAACTTCTCGAAGGGAAAAGCCTATTGAGCTACTGACACACATCCATCCTCAACCGATAACAATTTCTGACTAATTCAAGCCACGATCATAACAACATCGCGTCGCATCGGAAGGGTTAAGCGCCACGCACAAAAAAAATACAAACCGCAACCATGTAGCAGTAGATATACTATGCTCATTCAGAAGAAACCTGATCTGCTCGAAATTTACGGTTTCGTTCACTCTCGTTCTCGGTTCGAGGTGTCGTTGGTCGTCGTGCGTATCTGTTGCTCTTCTGCTAGTAAGTCGCGCAGTGCGGACTGCGTGAGTGACACAGGCAAAGGCGTCGCGATGCGAGGACACGGGCGGTGAGGGCGAGGTATAAGTCAAGATTTTTTCTACCGCCCCTCGAGGACCTCTGCCGTCTAGCGTCGTGCATGTACCTAGGTACTTGCCTACACGAGAGGCTCGGCCCCGAGAGCCTAAACGAGAGAACGAGAGAGATTTAATTCCTTTTTGTCGTGTGACCACGGACGCACGGTTATGGCAATTTTTCACTATAAAAGCTACCCGACCTAGCCACCAATCGTCAGTCAACTCGCATTTAGCAAAGCAATCTCAACTAAGTCAACATTTGTTAATAAGTTAACAGAACTATCAAAATGTACAAACTGGTGCGTATCAATTATTTCGTTATCATATTGGATTAATCATCAAACACAGTGATCTAAGGAGTGTTGGGGTGATATTGGAAGTGCTAGTGTTTGAATGAATGGACTGTTGGAGTGTTTTTATCCAGGAAACTGATTTTCATTTGAATCCTTGTTACAGTTCGTTTTCTCGTGCCTGATCGCCGCCGCCGTTGCTGCTCCAGCTCCAGGTGTCGTATTGGCCTCCCCAGTGGTTCATACAGTTCATGCTGCCCCAGTTGCTGTCAGCCACCAGTCCTCGTAAGAACTTTGAAGGATCCCTTGGGAATCACCTCCTAACGTCCTATTTTTTTCAAACCAACAGCCACGTTGTGCATCACACGCCAGTCGTTAAGCATGCCGTCGTTGCCCATCACGCTCCAGTAGTTGCCGTGCACCACGCTCCAATTGTCAAGTCCTACCCAGTCGTCCACCATTCTCCAGTCGTCCACTCCGTCCACGCTGTTCATCATACTCCAGTTCTGGCCAAGACCGTCGTCGCATCTCCAATCGTCCACTCCGTCCATCCAGTTCACTCTGTCCACGCTGTCCACTCTGTCCCAGTCGTCAAGAGTGTTGTCGTGCACCACTAAACCATCCCAATTATCCCTGAAACCTAACTGAAACAAACCTTAAGACAAAGAATAGCAATGTATACTCTTCCTGGAATCTGAACAGCTCATCAAAGGATTAAAAAATAGATTTGTACATACATGAAACCAGTATCTGTGACTGCAGATAAACTTTCTCTATAGTTAAATCGACGTAATGAACAGTTTGAGTCTAGTAGAATAATGCGATTACATGACAGAAGTGCAAAGAAAGTAAATAACGATTCAAAATACACGCAACTTTGTTGAAAAAGTTAAACAATTTTGGTTGGTTCCTAGTATCCGAAAAGCATAAATCGTCACAAGATCCATAACAAACAAAATTACACCCAATGGCGGTAACTTTTAGAATACTGAGCGAAAAATATCCAAGGTAATTTGTTGTTTCCGGATTGGCAAACACATATTCTCCGGGTCTCACTAATGCGGCAAATATCGGATTAAAAATATTCTTACCTTACCTTTCCTGGTCCAACGTCCTTCGGTCTGACTTCACCTGCGCTGTCCAATGTAGCTCGATTCAAGGCTGCTTGCCTCCAGTTTCTTAAGCGTTCCCCACTTCTTCGAGTATGCTCCACTTGGTCTAAACACATGTTGCTCTGCATCTTGTACGGGCCGGATTCGAGGCAAACATCATTTTTGCGGGATTGCTGTCTGGCATTCTAACAACGTATTGCACCAGCTCGTGGTTCATTCATCTCCTCCATACGCCTTTTTCAAATACTCTGCCAAAACCTCAAGGGCTTGTGGAGTACGTAGTAACTACGACTTCCGGCATTAATGCCTTTCCGGTTTTCTATGCTCTGCCCATAAGCGATGAAACGACTTTGACAAGTCGTCAAAAACAGCATCACCTGGTAGGCATGATGGCTACGGTCGTAGGTCATTTGGCATAAAGTCGATTAGCATAATGTCGTTTGGCATAATACCGCTTGGCATAATGCTGTTTGGCATAGTGATAGTTTGGCGTAATGTAAAAAATTAAAATAAAAACTTGACAAATCATAGAGGATTCCTTCATAAATATATATAAAGCCTGTCCACGTTAAATTTCAGACACTTTTCTTTCAGTGTAGTTTTTGAAATATTTCACGAACCACTCAAGCGTTTCACTTATATGACCGCTGAAGCTCTCCCCTTCATTGCGTGACACAACATGATAACATTCTTGTTCAGTTTGGAAAAAAACGGCGTCGAATCAAGTGGAAAAACGGTAGCAAAATCCAACGCTGTTGTACACGATCTCGCCAAAAAGCTAAAACTGTCGAAGAGTACCGTGTTTAGTGTTTGTAAATCGTTTGACCAGTGCTTAACTGTCGATCAGAAAGTTGGAAGTGGAACTGAAGTGGGCTGAAGGCCCCTTTTGGAAACTAACCAAAATCCTTAAAAATAAGCCAAGACACATTCCACCACTGACCCCACTGGATCGTTACGGTGACCCAGTAGTTCATCTGATAACTTCTGAAGAGAAGGCTGCTGCGATAGGTCAACACTTCGTCAGCTCCCATAATCTCGGACAAAACATCGTCAGTCCTCACGAAGCTGATTCCCAATATTTTTCCGAGGAATCCGAGATTACGGCTGACGAATTGTTGGCCTATATCAAATCATCTAAAAACATGAAGGCCCCAGGTTTCGACAACATCCTGAATCTGGAACTCAAACACTTGAGTTCCAGATTCTACAACCATCTGGCATTGATTTTTAATCTGTGCCTCCGACTTGGCTACTTCCCCTCGTGCTTGAATTCAGCTAAAGTCATACTCATCCGGAAGCCTGGGAAGGATCCGTCCTCTCCTTCAACTTATCGACCAATCAGCCTTCTCTCAGGGTTATCAAAACTGTTCAAAATAGCACTCTACCACCGGCTCCTAACATCTGCCGATGAAAACAAATTACTCGAGGAACAGTTTGGTTTTCGGAAAGGTCGTTCGACCGTCCACCAGCTGACTCGAATAACAAACATTCTCAGACGGAACAAGTATGTGTCGAAAACATCTGCCATGGCGTTGTTGGACGTTGAAAAAGCCTTCGACAATGTCTGGCATAATGGCCTGGTGTTCAAATTGCAGCAGTACGGTCTACCAATCTTCCTAGTGAAGATAATAAATAACTATCTATCGGGCAGGACGTTCCGAGTCTCTCTGAATGGGAACACATCGGATGCTTTCAACATCGGTGCCTATATGCCGGCTCGCCCTGATGTTGGATCGTTGTCTCTGTTCGCAGATGACAGATCCATCGTCTAAAAGGGTAGAACCATCGGAGCTCTGACTGCCAAACTTCAGAGAGGCCTGGACGTCCTGTCTGAATATTTCAACAGCTGGAAGATCCATATCAACGCGGAAAAGACACAGGTCATCATATTTCCACACTCTACATCTCCCAGACTTGTTCCGTCGGAGAATAATAAGATCTGCCTGAACGGCACAGTGGTGGAATGTTCGAAAGAGGTAGTCTACCTCGGCTTAACACTAGACAGCAAGCTGATTTTCAGGGATCACGTTGATAAAACGAAAACCAAGTGTAACATCCTGATAAGATCTCTGTATCCACTCATCAACAGGAGGTCTACTCTAGCCCTGAAAAATAAGCTTGCTGTATACAAACAAATCATCCTTCCCTTAATAGAGGACGGTATGCCAATCTGGGAGAGTTGAGCCAAATGCCGTCACCTCAAACTCCAAAGGATCCAGCACAAGATCTTTAGGATGATCCTAAACAGTCCCCCACGAACTAGAAATTCCGAGATCCACCTCCTGGCTGGAATTCAGTCATTAGAAGAACGAAGAGTTTTTATCCTGGAAAGGTTCAAAGACACCTGTCTGAGATCAACTCATCAGATCATACGTGATCTAGCACGTTAGGCTAAGTTATACTCTTAGTTAGGTCGGTTATCATTTCATTCAATTCAAATATAAAACACCCTGTCTGTTGACTAGTAAAAAAAACCCTGAATACGTAAATTATAATAACAAATTAAATAACGATAAAGAGCCTGATAGGCTAATCAATTAAAATGTTAAAACAATGTAAAATCATAATTTACAGAAATAAATGTTATTTTACTACTACTATGGGCGGAAGGCGTACAAAGTAAAAAAGGTGCCCAATCGTAATAATAATCAAGATTTCATTGCAAAAATTCGTGCTAAATAGCTTTTCAAACCGTTTTTGAAAAAAAAAATGTATCATAATGAACGACGAAAAATACGTGCTCGAAGACTTCCAACAGCTTCCGGGTTTGGTTTTTTATACTACAATGCAAAGGAATGCCGTTGCCAAGTGTTTCCGGACAAAGAAGCATTCGAAATTCCCCAAAAAGTATTTGATTTTGGCATGCCATATGTAACTGCCACCGAAAATCCAAAAGTTTCATCTCTACCAGCACTATCAACAAAGATTTTTTTTTTGTATTAATTTATTTGCACAGGCTCAATCGAATAAACTTTACAGAGCCAAGTTATCATTTGCGTTATACATAATAGATGTCTTAAAGCTAGAGTTAAAGGAATTGAACCGATTACTCGTGGTCGTCTCGAGGTTAGTAGAGATTTACAGTTTTATGGATGGGGAGAGGGAGAAGGAGGTTTGGGTTATGTTTTACGATACAAATATTTCATTATTCCTGAAACATGAACTTATTTCTATTCAATTTGGTATCCGCAGTGTAAGCATACAATTATTACAGAAAAAACATTAAAAAAAACCAAACGAACAAAACAAAAACTAAACACAAGGTTAGTCAAACTTACAATCTAAGGTTAATATTCTTTAAGTAAACATATATAAGTTTCATAAACTCCAGATCACGTCTACCCAAAATATTCCGAACTGGAACATTAGGTTGTCTACCTCGAGCCCGAAGGGAATCATACAACTCGGATCTGACTCCGCGATTCTCAGCACAAGACCAAATAATGTGATCTGCGTCCTGGTAACCTTTTCCACATTCACAGAGATTGATGTCCCCCAGCCCAACACGGAGCGTTTAACGAGTAGTGATTGGACATGAGGCGAATGAAGTCTCGACCCACATCCAACCCCTTGAACCAAGGACTCTTCGACACCTTAGGGATGATCGAATATAGCCATCGTCCCAAACTCCCTTCGCTCCATTTATTCTGCCAGCTGACGAGTGACTGTTGACGATAAATGAAGAAAAATTCGTCGTAGGCGATTTGTCGATCGTAAATATCGCCTTGCATAGCGCCCACCTTAGCAAGTGAGTCCGCCTTCTCATTGCCCGGAATCGAGATGGGACCCATGCAAAGGTGATGACAAAAGATCTTAAAGATAAAGCACTTAGAAGCTCTCGTATTTTCATGAGAAAATACGAGGAGTGCTTTACCGATAGAGCGAATAGCCTCGACAGAACTGAGACTATCCGTAAAAATAAAATAGTGATCTGGTGGACGTGAGGCGATCGTTTCTAGCGTATAGTATATAGCCGCCAGCTCAGCAATATACACAGAACAGGGAGCTTGAAGCATTCGAGAGGCGCTATGAAATACGTTATTAATACCAAAACCAGCGGACGCTTCTATTAATGATATCAACATAGATGTGTACGAGAAAGAATGTTTGGAAAGACCGGAAGCTTGGAAGCTTTATGCACTTTTCGAAAGTTCGGATGTTATACGGACTTATCGGATATTCTACGAACATTTCGAAAATTCTCTTAGAAGTTTTACGGACTTGGCTAGTTCTCCGAACTTCTCAGAAGATCTACGGACTTCTCGGAAGATCTACGGACTTCTCAGCAGATATACGGTCTTGGCGGAATTTTCAGATATTCTAAGGACAAGTCGTATATTCTACAGGCTTCCCGGATTGTCTGCACTGTACCAAAACCACCGTCTTCTGTTCGAATGAAACCTCAGACCATTCAATTCGAAACATCGAAATCGACTTTTCGATGATAGCTGCAACCGGATGACGGTTGTTTTGAAATCAAATGATTTTCCTCTCGAATACAGGATGAAAATTGTTATGAGAAGGGATAGGGGCCTTCAGTTGAAATACGTAATGCTCTCTGCAGAATGATTGTCATACTAAATGGAAATGCATATGCTATTGGGTCAGCCCCATAACGCAAATCATTCAAAACGATGATGTAAAAAATTTTATCGAACGTCATTTGCTGATCTTAGCAGACAAACGAGGTGGAAGCATAGCCATGGCTATCAGAGGTGGTACGAACATTGGTAAAGCGTGGAAACCGTAAATTGCCTATTTCGTGATGGAGGAAGTTTCCTCTGC